AATCATGGTTTTCAATTAATGAACATGGCATTTTACATCGATTCACATGCCCTCATCATCCTAAACAAAACGGCTTAGCCGAACGTAAACATCGACATTTAGTTGAAATTGGACTTACTATCTTAGCCCAATCTAGTTTTGCCCACTCGTCTTTTACAGCATATCTCTCCGTATGAAAAATTATTTAATAAACTTTCTCAATATAATTTTTGTTAAGGTTTTTGGTTGTGCATGTTTTCCTTATTTGCGTTCATATAATAATAATAAATTGCAATTTCGTTCTAAACGTTGTGTTTTCTTAGGTTATTCTTTGAATCACCATGGTTATCGATGTATGGATCCATCTACGAGACGTGTCTTTCTTTCCAGCCATGTTGTGTTTGATGAGAACAACTTTCCATATAAAGAATCCATTGTTACTTCGCCATCGTCGCTCTCTTCGTCTGTGGATCCAGTCACTGACATTGGCCCATCACATCATCCCATCCCTGCTTTTACACCATTTCCACAACTAGATGCCGCAGCCCCACCGACTTCTCCCACAGTCTCAGCCGTCCCTAACCCACAGCCTGCAACTCAGGGTTCATTGTTAGTTTATACACGTAGAAATAAGCATGTGCCTCTAGTCCAGCCCCCTGTCCTTACCACCCAACCACCACCCTTATCTTCTCATTCTCTGGATCAACCACCACCTGCAAAGTTGCTGCCACTTGCACAATTCTCTAGTATAAGGGTTCCATCTACTTCCGAGGTAAGTGCTTCGACTCATTCAATAGTTACTCGAGCCAAAGCTATTCTTCATAAATCTAATCCGAAATATGCTTTTGCTACTATTGTTGATCATGACTTCTTTGAGCCTACATGTTTTAGTTAGGCTAATAAAGTTTTAGAATGGCACATGGCAATGGCTAATGAGTTCAATGCTCTTTAAACGAATGACACGTGGTATTTGGTGCTGTTTCAACCCAATATGAATATTCTTCCCAACAAATGGGTTTACAAAATCAAACGTCGTTCTAATGGTTCAATAGAGCGTTACAAGGCACTGTCAGTGGCTAATGGGTTCCATCAACAAGAAGGCTTGGACTACGGTGAGATGTTTAGTCTTGTTGTTAATCATGCAATTATCCGGTTAATTCTCTTCATTGATATTCACTTTAATTGGCCACTTCGTCAACTTGATGTCCAAAATGCGTTTCTACATAGAACGTTGAATGAAGAGATACATATGCAGCAACCATAAGGCTTTATCAATCCACAACATCCTTCTCATGTTTGCAAATTGCATCGATCCCTCTACAGTCTCAAATAAACGCCTCGTGCCTGGTTTCACTATTTTTCTCACCATTTGGAAAATTTGGGCTTCGTATCGTCACATGCTGATTCATCTTTGTTCACATTCTTTGTTATGGTTCTGTGGCTAGTTACCTGTTGATTTATGTGGATGGCATCCTTATTACAGGAAATAGCTTACCTCACATTACACTTTTAATTCATCAATTGAGTCAGGTGTTTTCAATGAAGGATCTTGACCCTCTACATTATTTTTTCAGTATGGAAGTTCATCGCACTAGCTTCGGTCTTCATCTCACTCAAACAAAAGTACTTCACTGATCTTCTCAAACGCACCAAAATGTTGGAGTGTAAACCGATTTCCACACAAGCCATTAGTGGACGTCGCCTCAGTTTAAGTGATGGTGAACCCTTGTCTGACATCATTAAATTTCGTAGTGTTGTGGGCGCCTTACAATATCTTCTCTTCACTCGATCCGATATTGTGTTCGCCGTTCATCATGTTTGTCAGTTTAGGCATAAACCAACCACGACTCATTGGGTTGCTGTTAAGCGAATCATCCGCTACCTTAAAGCTACCCCCAGTCATGGCATCATATATTGCCCCAATTTTCTTCATCTCACTGCCTATCCCGATGCAGACTATACTGGTGACCCTGATGATCGATGCTCTACTGGTGGCTATTGCATTTTCCTGGGTGACAATCTCATCTCCTGGAGCTCAAAGAAACAACGTGGTGTCTCTCGTTCAAGTACGAAAGTTGAGTATCGCCAACTTGCATACACCGTTGCTGCTCTTTCTTAGTATCATACTTTGTTTCGTGAACTACATCTTCCTCTTGCTCCTCCACGACTATGGTGTGACAATATTAACGCCATCTTCATTGCCTCTAATCCAATTTATCAACAATGTATTAGGGGTGGGTTCAAATAACCGAAAACCGAAAAAAACCGAAAACCAAACCGAACCGAGGCTGAAAAAAACCGAACCGAAAAAAAATCGAACCGAAACTGCCAAACCGAACCGAACCGAATCTGGCTGGTTCGGTTTCGGTTTTTGAGGTCCAGAAACCGAACCGGACCGAACCGAACCGAAAAAAAATATATATATATAAATACCAAAAAATATGTTAGCATCAGGGTTCGAACCCCTGACCTGTAGGTTGGTTTTAGGTGCTGTCAGCCAACTTGACTGTAGGCTTTCTATTGTTATAATTGTACCAGTATATTATTTATAGGTTTATTACATTGAATGCTTTATAAAATTTCTTAAGCTTAAAACCCTAGCCGTCTCAGTGCCCCATTCCCATTTCATTTTCAGATCTCAAAGTCTCTCTCCCCGCCGCGGCTTCCTCTCTGCTTTCTCAGTCTCTCTCTCTCCCTCTCCTTCCTCTCTTCCTCCAAATCACTCTCTCTAGTCTTCTCTTGTCCTCCTCGTGGATTCTTTCTTCCAAACAATGATTTTCCCTCGCCCCTTTTTGAGACCCGACGAAAAGAGGAATTGTAAGAGCTTGCGACGATCACTGCGATATCGCTGCAGCAAAGGTTGTGGGTAATTTCGTTTCTGAACACTATTAGACTATTAGTTGAGATTTGATTAATTGTGAGAAATTTTGGTTATGCACCGCAATTTGTTTTGGGTATGTTGGGGAGTGTCTGTCGATTGTGTTTTTTCAGTGTTGCTTGTAATCTGATTCCATTTTTGTTTTTGGGTTTAGGGATTTTGAGATTGTTTATTGATTGGAGAAGATGGCGTTGGGAAAGAAGTGCAAGAGTTGCTTGAAAGCGAAGCGTGGTAGCGGCGGTGCTGTTGCGGCGGAGGCGGAGCCGATGATGGAGTTAGGGTTTGTGAAGTACACGCGAGCTTTGGGGAGGAAGAGGATTGGGATTTCTAACAATGGCGAGGAGGCATCGCCGGCTGATTTGTATCCCAATACTCCATTGAAGAAGCAGCGGAGTGGGAAGATGATTTGGGAATCGGAAACTGCCGCCTCCTCCGCCCTAGAAGCTCTGCCTCAGGAGATTCTGGTTAGCCCCAAATTCTCAATTTTTTGCGATTGAACAATCAAATATAAAATTGGTTTCGATTTAATTCGTTTCTAATCACATTTCTATTTCTGTGCATTGCAGATTAAGGTTGTGTGTGGAGTCGATCACGATGATTTGAAGCGGCTTTTCCGTGTATCGAAAGCGATTAGAGAATCGGTAAGTTTAATTTGTTCAATTAACTTCAATAATTAATTTTTAATTTGTTTTTATCAATTGGCATTGATTTTGATGTTTCATATTGTTTGATTGCAGACTCTGGTTGCGAAGCAGTGGCATTTTGCTTCTTAGTCAATGATGTATCTTACCTCATGAATATTGAAAAACCGTCCTGGAGAGATGGAAACATGTCATATTTTCTATTTCTATTGTGGTTGTTTTGCATGTTTTGGAGGGACAAAAAAAAAAAAAAAAAAAACCGAAAAAAAAACCGAAACCGAACCGAAAAAAAAACCGAACCGAAAAAAACCGAAAAAAAATTGGGCCGAACCAAACCGAACCGAAAATTCGGTTTGGTTTCAGTTTTGGCAAAAAACCGAACCGATAAGAACCGAACCCAGCCCTACAATGTATGCGTCCTGTGGAAGTCGATTATCGTTGCATCCGTGAGAAAGTCACTTGCAAGGAGATCATTGTTGGCTATGTCTCTTCCACATACCAGCTGCCTGATCTCCTTACAAAGGGTTTATTTGTTGTTCTGTTTTCGCTCTTGATGTCTAAACTTCCCATACGTGGTCACACGGTCAGTTTGCGGGGGAGTGATAAACCAAGTCTAATTCCAATTGTTGCAGAACAATCACACTCCGATATGGACACGCCTAATACTGAAGATTAATCTAAGTCTAAGTTCTACTCCTAGTTCTAGTCTAGTTTTGATTGTATATTATGTTTTATGTATTCCTCTTCCACACAGATTGCTTTGTATTATTCCTATGATTATTAATGCTCAGTGCCTCGCTCATTATTGAGTTGAGATAACAAACTATATTCTATTGTTTTTCAAGTTTAACTTTAAAGTAAATATCACCTAAATCAAAATATTAAAAGTACTATAATGTTTTTGTTGCTTCGCTAAATATGAAATTAATGTGGAGCGAGTTAAAAGGTGAAGTACAAAAAGTTGAAAATTGAAAATTTGACTTGGTCCTTTTTTGAGGAAACAGATAATCCATGCATAGACAAGTCCATGTTTCTCATGTCTATTAAAATAATGAAACAAAAAATTATTGTGCAAACATTGAAACACCATTACTAATATTACAGTACAGATTGGCATATCACATGATTACGTTCGAAGATCATACAATAACATTTTTAACGAAACCATTTGAGGCACTCAAGAATGGGCTCTCAAAGTTGCCCAGGGGTTTCATTTCCAGTGTCTCACAGTCGGACAATCCACAAAATAACATGGGGCATCTATAGCATAACAGGGAGGATGTGTTTGAATTCATCCTTCTAGGGACAAACCCATCCTAAATACTTCACTAGCCTTCCAGCTCTAGGGACAAGCCATCACAAAATAGATCGATATACAAATATTTTTAAGGAAAACTAATGAAAATGATTTGAAAACTTTGAATTTTAACGATAATGACAAAATAAAGGGTAAAGTGAATAGTACCAGGATTGACTTTTTATTGTAAACATGTGGTTTTTTATTAAAGTGAACAGTACCAGGAGCTTTTCATTAAAATTCAAATATTTTTACACAAGCAAATAAACTACAAAACTGAAATATACAAATCTTTTAATGATCAGTAGCAAAATGTAAATGAATGATCATCTTTAGGGTGATTAACTTCCTAAAAATATCAAAGCCAATACATTTGATCTTCGAATTACTTCAATTACAAGGAATCTGTAAGAGAAGAACTCAACTGGGGCTAAAAAAAAGCAAATGCAAAATCTGGAAAAACCAAGTCACTCATCTAGTATACAATGAGCAAAAACAATTGGAGGAAGAGAGCCTCCGCAAAAATAAATTGGCCAGCCGGTGTTAGCTACCTCCGATCGCCTTCAAACAAACTCTTCAAATGAAGCCAGCAAAAGAAAAGAAAATTTTGGAAGACTGGGGCAAATCTAACTCTAGGATTGCTGAGAAAAATGAGCAATTAATTCCTGTCAAGGTAGATAAAAACGTTAGAGCTCCGTCTGTCACAGAAAACTTCTAGTGTATGCAAAATAATGTGACAATGAAAGATGGTGAGATTATTACCTCAGAGTAGCGCATATGATCATGACGCAAATTGGAAGTTTTTACAATGGTTTCCCACTTGGTACTCATGGAGGATGTCTCCGATTCCAGCCTTTTCGTATGGGTGTGTGAAAATGAATTTCTCGAAGAAATTGACGAAAGGGTAGACCAAAGCCAAGACTCGGAAGGTGATCTTGGTAGAGGTGGGGGAAGAAGAGACTGTACAGGTATAATCTGACCACTTTTCGTATCCAGGTTTCCATTAGCACCAGAGTTTGAATAGTTAAATGCCTCAGTTTCCTGACCAATTCCCAGCAGAGAGTCCTTCATTGCAACTATTTGGCCTTTGAAGTGGGGTATGTCACATAATGAAGATGATTTGTCATCAACAGACTCGAATACTTCAGTTTCTGATTTGCCACCATCCTCGAAATTATTCAGGCATTTGATGTCTTGAAACGGAGATTCTGCAGAAAAAGTTTCTTCCATCTCTCTTCTCTTTATTAGGGTCTCAAAATCTTCACCAGCACAATCTACTTGTTCTTTTCTATTGAAAGAACTGGAATTCGGATATGATAGTTTGGCAACATTTACAGTATCTACATACAGCGTCTTCTCAACAATAGGGCTCTCAGAGCCTGGCCCTTGATTATTTCTTTGATGGCTTGTTACCTCCTGAGAGCTGTGACCACCTTTTTTATGCAAATTGAACTTACTATTGGATTTGGTATTCTCTTCTCTGGGAACGCCAAGAAACCCTGCTCCCGGAAATGGAGACTTAGGTGCTTCATTTCGGTAGGGGGATATGCAACCACTTCGTGAATGCCTGAAGGGAGATGACCTATTTTTGTTTAGATCCCCAGAATGTGTAAAACGACTGGATTCACCGACCTGCTTATACTCAAACTTCTGCAATTCAGCCGAATGGACTCCACGAGGTGCTTCACTTCGGTAAGGGGATAAGCAAGTGCTACGTGAATGCCTGAAGGGAGATGACCTACCTTTATTTAGATCACCAGAATTTGTAAGGAAACTGGATTCACAAGCCTGCTTATGCTCAAACTTCTGCAACTCAGCTGAATGGAATCCACGAGGTGCTTCGTTTGGATAGGAGGTTATGCAAGTTCTTCGTGAATGTCTCAAGGGAGATAACCTACCTTTGTTCAGATCACCGGAATGTGTAAGGCAACTGGATTCACAAGCCTGCTTATACTCAAACTTCTGCAGTTGAGCTGAATGGACACCATGAGGGGCCTCATTTCGATAGGGGGATATGCAATCAGTCCGTGAATGCCTCAAGGGAGATAGTGTACCTTTCTTGAGATCACCAGAGTGTGTAAAGTGACTGGATTCACCGGCCTGCTTATACTCATACTTCTGCAGTTCAGCTGATTTGACTCCACAAGGTGCTCCATTTCGGTAGGGGGATATGCAAGCACTTCGTGAATGCCTCAAGGGAGATAACCTGCCTCTTTTTAGATCACCAACGAGTGTAAAGCGACTGGATTCGCCAGCCTGATTGTAGTCAAACTTCTGCAATTCTGCTGATTTGACTCCACAAGGTGCTCTATTCCGGTAGGGGGATACACAAGCCCTTCGTGAATTCCTGAAGGGAGATGAGCTACCTTTCTTTAGATCACCAGAATGTGTAAGGTGATTGGACTCTGCAGCCTTCTTATTGTCCAACTTCAGCAATTCACCTGATTGGACTCCACAGTTTGATTTGCGCTTACAAGCAGCATCCCAAGCATGCTAATTAAAACCATACAACATGTCAATAATTTATATGATTTAGTTATAGTAAAATAAATGAACGAAACTAGAGATGTGATAGTTTCTTAATAACCTTGTTGAGTGGTTGGCTAAGAGACCGACCATAAGCAGATTTTTCTGGTCTTGCAACCCCAGAGGACGAAGACGTGAGAGCCCGAGTCTTAACTTTCATCCCTGGAATTGGACCTAAGAGGCATAAAGAATTTCGCAAGCATAAGCGGGGAAAGAACCCACAACCCTTTGCCGAAACAGAGCCAGAGGGATCGTACTCGTCATCTTCCCCTTCACTTTCTTCTTCCTCTTCATATTGTCCGTGTTGCAGTTCCATTTGAGACCCTTGTTCCTTTGGTAAGGGCCTTGTATCCTCACGGATTACCCTCGTGATTTGTCTTGGCTGTTCAGGTGCAGCTGTATGTTGCTTCTTTGCAGCATGAGGTGTCTCCAAAGCCATTGCCTTGGCTGCAGGTAAGAATCGATTCATCAAGAAGTCCCGGGTTTGTGGATCAACAGCGGAGGCTATAGATGACTTTGCATCTGCACCGTCAGATTGACTCCGACAACTTGCACTACAGTTCAAGGAGAAAGACTTCGTGGGGGAAATTGTCTCAAGTGCATCCGAATAAATATCATCCTCGTCCTCTAATTCCGAGGCTCCTCTCTGGTTCATTACCTCTTTTGAGCACTTCAATTCCTTCACATTTTCCTTCGTAGAATACGCATTAAAGTGCGGTGATCTTGCCCCATTTTGATCTCCATGATCCCTTTCCGAACTTTGCTTTGTAACATTTCTAAGCTTTCCGGGGGGAAGCCTAGGAGTAACCGAAACCTCCTCTGTAGCCTCTGCCTCTTTGCCTTCCTTGGCTTTTCCGGGGATGTGCTCCCAGTGAAAAGGAACTGCAACCGGTTCTGTCACCTGCTCCAAGCAAAAGTCTGATTTATAAGGAGGAAGACTGTGCCGCCCATCGGGCCTCTGCACTATCTTCTCTTTCTCTCTATCTGCGATCACCGGTGTTGTAGCAATCCGCCTGACGGACAGAAAAGGTGCATTCAAGTTCAGTTTCCTTTCCTCCATGTATCCTGATTTCGATCAAGCCAATTCTGTCCAATCCCTCGGTAACTTCAAGTTCACCGATTGAGAACAAAACCCCAATTGCTAACAACAGGGGTGGCACAACAGATCATGGTAAATCCGTTCGCATTATCCGAATATAAACACTTCTGAAAAGAAAGAAAAAATTGAAATTACTGAAACAATCCATAGTTTTTATCAACTCACACAAGCGAAAGAAAAAAAAATCAGAAAAATTCAACAACTACACAGATAAGCATTTAGTAGATGAGCTGAATTTCACCTACTCTGACGAACTCCGATAACCAAAAGAATTACTACTTCTGGTGAATAAAAAACAAACAGAACACAAGACAGAACAAACTTTGATTGTGTGCCAGAGGAAGTAACTTTATTGTGAATCCCAATCCAAATTTGTCTCATTCCAACATCATCCTAATTCAAAACAAAGAAAACAAAGGGAAACAGCAATACCAGAATGTTTCAAAGAAAACCCAGAATTTAAAATCATGCATAATTTACACCATCTGCCACTACACATTGAAGTTGTATATCGAAAAGTTGTGAAATTTATCAAAAACTCCATTGAAGAAGTAAAAGAGGAGGCGCACCTGTGAAAGTTGAGACCCTCTTGCTTGAGAGAGAGAGAGATTGCTTCGAGCCTGTGTGCCCTGATGATTTTTGGGCTCCGAGAATGATGCGGTGTGGTGTGGGGAATGAGTGCAAACAAAGAAAATAAAAGAGCCAAGAAAGGAAGGTGTTAGAGAGAGAATGAGTAGAGAGAGAGAGAGAGAGGTGGAAGAGGGAGAGAGAGTGCTTTTTTTTTCTTCTACTTATTGAGTGTATATGTAATGTCGGACATGGAATGTGACCAAACACATGCAGAGGATAAAACTAAATACAACATTGTACGGTACTTTCGTTGGATCCATCATACCGCTCCTTTATTCTTCTTCCGGACCATTTTTCAGTGTACTATGAACACGATTACGTAACTTATAATTTTACTTAATTAGAAATCTGTTTTCTTATTGTTACACTTATTAGTATGACTTATCAATTTTTCGTTTATTCTTATTACAACACTTAACATAATACACTACATAATTTATATTCCCGATGGTCATAAAAATTTTCCCATGCATGGTCCCATTGAAGTTTTCATCTTTCTTGTCCTTGATATGGGATTATGCATCTGCTGATTCTTGCTGGGTTATTTATGAAAGTGGCATTAATTTGACCCAAAAAAAGAAAAGAAAGTCGTATAAATCAAATAATTGAATAGGGATGGATGGAGACTGGAGACTGGAGACTGGAGAGGCCATGCGATGGAGGAGAGGGAGGTGTGGTCACGGACGTAACGGTTGGGGAATAGTGACAGTTGCTACTTGCTCATCCAAAGCTCCTTTAACTCTTCAAATCTGCCAAATTTAGTGGACCGACCGACTTGGTTATTCAACATTCAGTCACGACTATTCGACCACCACGTAGCATTTATATATCTTTGGCAATTATTCCATGTTTTCCACAGTGATTGCAGTTTATTAAGGGTTATTTAGAAGAAAAAAAACCTTAAATTAGAGAAATAAGAATTGGGAAGAACATAAATGGGAGCAAGATCAATTACTTCTTGATGATTGAGTTGTGTCAAAGGGTGGTAGTGTGGTGGTTACATGTTTTTTTTTAATTATGTATATATTAGTAATCGTGGGGAAGTCTAAGAATGGGAATAATTGAAATACTCATACGAGGTTACATATGTCAGTAAACATCGAAAAAGTCAAAAAATCCGAATATTTATTTCTCGTGTCAAGTAAGTAAATCTGCAATATGATTTTTAGGATAAAGTTTGACTAGAGAATGTTTATGTAAATAACACTTATGCTCATAATAAAAATGCTTTTTTAAAGCGGTTTTTGTTAGAATCATAACATTATTTTTATCAAAAATCCAAAACTTCAACAAAAATGACTCCGTAAATGCTTCTTAAAGAATCACCTAATCTACCAAGTGCTAATACTTTCAAGTTGCTTAACCATTCTTAGTTTTTTCTTTTCTTTTAAAAGAGGACTGGCAGAGGAATTTCCAAGAGTTGGAAAGACTCAAAGAGGAATTTCAGTCTCCCTCTAATCGTCATCATGTGATTCATCATCGCCAAAATTCAAAATCAAAATGTGTCGTATGAAATACGGATTTGAAAATTTTCTATAACTATTCTTAATTTATACACACCTAAAATGCAACAAAAAATCAATTTCATTTGATGTGGCGGTACTTGATGACTCATAGCGAAAGTGGAGGACTTGGACCCATTTGCATGTGATAGATGCAACTCTCTCTCACACTTTCTTCGGATGCTTGATTTTGTCGACAGGTTTTAAAGTTGAGATTTGAAATTTGTCACCAAAAAAGTAAAAATGCATAACATAACATTAACATGGGAGGTTTAATTAAAAAGATGAGTAATGGTAGGGAAATCAATTTTTTTTAAATTAAATTTAAAAACCAAATAATGTGGTTGTAAATAATTAGATTATTAATTATTGTCGATTGACGTTTTGTTTCTTTTTAGTGACACGTAATTTAATTTACACAATTTCGTTTAAAAATTTAGTCTCAACAACATTACCCTAAAATGATTGTCAATTAGATTATAATACCACCAATGCTTTTCTCCTGATTGCCCTTAAATTGCGGAGACCAACTTTGACTGCATTTTAAAAGCAATTTTTATTTATTTTTGATTTGGTTTTTTCTTTTTATTCAAACAATCAATAAAAGATTTATACGAAAAAAAAACATTTTTCAAACAAAATAAGATATTTCATTCATTTATAAAATGGCATCACAAATACATATCAGGAATAATTCTGCTCTTAAATAGTCATTGTAAACTAGATCTAAAAAATATTACAATAAAACATCACAGCTAATCGAGAATTGCAAGATTAAGAAAAAAGGAACTGAAGAATGGATACTTTGCAAGAGATAAAAAAACTCAGAATCATCTTTTTTTTCTATAGCATAAATTAACTGAAGTGTTTTCAGAACGCTCACATTAATAATATTATTAAACCTTATGTTACACGGAGATCATGTGAGAATAAAATCTCAAATAAGGAGAAAATTATTATTATTATTATTTTGTTGAAACAGATTACCATTTTTTAAAATTAATTAAAGGTTATACTCTTTAATGTGAATAATATGTTGAGGGTAGTGATTAGATTCTAGTTAATTACCTGCAATTAACCTGATTGAATGATTAACCTTATAAGTAGGATGAAATTGCCAAACGGTTTATGTTAAATGTGTTTGAGATGGGCCTTTTAAAAAAGGACAGAAAAACATAAAATTGGGCCTATCTAAAAGCATCAAATTTGACAAATTAACAAACAAATAAATTTGGGCCTATCTTAAGGATTCTAACGCAGGCCATGTACATACGGTTTCATCTAGGGGTGAGTTTGGTTTAAATCGGTTCGGTTTTTTGCCAAAATCGAAACTGAACCGAAATTTCAGTTCGGTTCAGTTAAGTTCAATTTTTTTTTGGTTCGGTTTTTTCCTGTTCGGTTTCCGTTTTTTTTCAAAAAATGAAAAAATTTGAAATCTTAAATTTTAACATATCCAACACAATCATAACATAAATATTCCGACTAGACTTAAAGATAATGAAAATAAACATTTAAAGTTCAACTAGAATTATAATAAAGGTTTTTTTTTTAAAATATTTTGGGTTTTAAAGTTTAACTATACATAGATTTCTTTTTAAAGATGAGATGGAGTTACGACCTATTCATTCCTCTCTTTCTCTCAATTCTCTCTCTCTCTCTCTCTCTCTCTCTCTCTCTCTCTCTCTCTCTCTCTCTCTCTCTCTCTCTCTCTCTCTACATGTATTCTTCACTAGCAATAAGATAAACATTCTATAATATACTATTTATTTTGATTATTGTCTAGGTAACAATTTTTGATATTTTCTTTATCCTTATGGTCCGAATTTTTTTTATCCATATATGTGGTTACATAATATAATTTCTACATTTTATGTTCAGCTTCTACCACCAGCAAATTTTGAAGAGGTGTTCATCAATATTTTTGAATATATTGATATGCTTTTCAAAATTGTTAGGCCACGGAAGCAACTATACTTGGCCATAGGTGAGAAAGTTTGAATTTTGTTTTTGATCTCGTAGTGTTTAATAAACTCATGAGACTTTTATACGCTGTTTGCTTTCCCTAATCAACTGCAGTGCAGTTGAGATATGTGTTCTTATATATGTGTTGCACTTAATGATATAAACTAGAAATATTGCATGTAATGGTATAAGTTCTAATTTTTGTTGTAGATGGAGAAGCTGAGAAGACAATTTGAATTGGAAAGCAAGCAAGTCCTACCAAAGCAGCAGTCCGAAGTACCATATTCTAATATAATAAAATCAAATAATTAAATAAATAAAATTAAAAAAATATTAATTTAATTATTTCAGTTTGGTTCGGTTTGGTTCGGTTGTTCAATTCGGTTCGGTTTTTTTTGTTTCGGTTCGGTTCGGTTTTCGGTTTTTTTCGGTTTTCGGTTTTTTGAACTCGCCCCTAGTTTCATCTATGCCAACACATTTCTTTTGGTACAACGATGCATTTAATGCATGAAACAATTTTACATAAATAAAATATAATTTACTAAATAAAGTAAATTTTTCTTTTTGACACAGATATTATCTATACTAAGGGGCAGTGATGTGGATTAAGCTTCACAATGAGCTAGCAATATTGCGGTTCAATAGTTCTCACAGTGGTTGTGTTTGTGTTGGGTACCATTTAGCGAAATGGTGTCCATTTAAGTATTGGATATGTTTTAATTGTGGTAGTGAATAATGGTGTTTGTGCTGGTGATGGTGATGACAGAATATTCAGAGATGCCAATTCACCATCCATGCATTGCACTTGTTGTCCCTAGCCAATCCTAGTCATGTTAGAACATGTTAGAAATGGGAAAGGAGAATGTTTAGACATGATATGTTGTTGGGTATCATAGGGCTTGGGTCTGAGGGTTGAAACCAAAGCCCAAACCTTGATTGGGCTAAGATAAACTTATTTAAACTCGATCCGATTAAGCCTTCAGACAATAACTAACATTTTCGTGAGATTTATATTATCAACACTGAGAAAGCTATCACCAATTGATTGTGATTTGCATTACGACTACTACCTAACCCCTTTTTTTAACTTTCTTTCTAAAGCATTTTTCATGCTTTTGATCGTGTGACATTTGATATCACTAATACATTGTGGAAAGCGAGAGATACCAAAAAGTCAATGAATGATGACCACTAACAGATTTCATGTCTCTGCCTTCGTTTTCAGCCATTCTGTTGAAGACGTGAAGTCGCTCAAATAAAGTTAAGAATTAAAAAAAAAAGAAAAAAAAAAGACCTTGTCTCACTACTAAGTCTACTGTACGCAGTGAGATAATTAGACCTCTATATGGTGGTGGGACTCTAGCAATTGCTCTTATCAACCATGTGTTTGTTTTTTGTTACAAAGGGGAAGATTATGTGGTGGTTCAATCAATACACAATTTATGCTACTTGCAAGGCATAAGGATTATAAGAAAGGTGTAAATGAATTTTAATCCTGGTATTAGATTAATTTTTCATTAAAACCTGGTGTAGGATTAGATATCTGATCCTAGTCCTTCATGTCATCATGATTATTATAACTCATATTTTGTTATTTTTAAATTCTTTAATGGCTCTTTTTGTTCCCATTGTGCCCTTGTAATTAATTATTCGACTTTCTTGGTATGTTCCAAATTATTAGGAACTAATTTTGACTTTGATTAATTTATGCTTGATTTCTTCCATGATTATGGTGCCTAAAAAGATTTTTCATATCATCATGCCTAAATTACAAGATGAAAAAAAGTTAAGGTATCACATGTATAATACATCAAAAGAAGTGTATGTATTTAAATATTAGTACCTAAGTAAACACACCTAAATTATAGTACCTAGTTGAAAACACCTAATCATAGTACCTAATTGAACGCACCTAAATCATAGTACCTAATTGAACGCACCTAAATCATAGTACCTAATCGAATGCATCTACATTATAGTACCTAATCAAATGTGTCTAACTTATCGTACCTAATTGAGTATAGATGCAATAGATCAAACCCAACTCCAAACTCAACAATTCATACACTGACAAAATGATCAAAACCCAATAATAAAATCAACCAACACAAAATAACAACAAAAACTAATGAAATAAGAAATATCACAAGCACAATGCCACAAAAAAGTTACTGAACCCATTCTCTTCGTTGCAAATCGTTGGAATCCACGTAGATACACAAGCCATATACCATTCAAAACCAACAGAAAGAAAATAGAGAGAGACCTACTACAAATGATGAGAAAAAGGGGAAAATCGTAATTAGAAGATGTGTGTGAAGAAATCAGCCAATACATGAATGGTTTGCCTAATCCCGTTTTCAATTGCAAAAGCCTAATCTTTTTTTTCAAAGAAGCCTAATCTCTAATTCCTTTGATGTTGCATCTTTAAATGCCGGATGCTCATTTTGAATTAAAAAAAAAATCATTCAATTGTGAACCATTTAATAGCAATATTTAGGGGGAATATAGGAAGACAAAACATAGTAAAATTACATAAAAGAAATTAATTATGATGTGGAATATAAATGATGATTTGGACACGAGTCAAATGACTAAAATTAGTTTTTAATCTTACTTACCGTATTTATCTAAAAGTAATCATTTTTAAGGACTAAAATCTAGTTTTCTATATAAGGAATCTCATAATGGAAAATGCAAATTGATTGTCGTATATCTTGTAGTTGCACTTTTAATTATACTGTATTTTTTATTACAAAATCATGACGGTAAAATGTTAGTTGATGAAAGTGATTATTGTCGTTAGTAGGCCGGGACTTAACTCTTTAAATTCTTAACAGTTAAAACAAAATTGAAGATCCAACTTCTCATAACGTTGACTTGGGCCTCATTGTTAAGCTTAGAGCCACGCATCGGTGAAAAGAAAAACCTTGGAATAGCTTATAAGAGGTTGTGTTACTCCCTATATTGTCAATTGGTTTTATGGTAGAACATCAACTTCTTCATGGTATCAGGTCATGTTGACCCACGTGTGAAGCCCACGGCCACACATGCTGCACGTCATCCAATTCTTTGACAAATATTCGCTATGTATGAACCTCAACGATCACAATTGCTCTAGTACACCACCCAATTCTTGATGCTTAGAGCATCTCTAATAGAGCTCTTAATAGGGACAATCAACGTATAAAATGAGTATAAAACAAATATAGGGACACCATGAATCTCCAATGGATTGGAAAGTGAGTCCCTAAAGTATAGGGACTCGCCGGATACTTGATGTATGTACTCACATATAGGGACTGAAATAGTGGATCCAATAGGACAATTTAAGTGGAAAAACATGTGTGGGTCCCAGTCACATGGCCTTGTCTTTTTTTTCTTTCTTTTCAACTATTTAAAATTGAGGTCCAGATTGATACTTGCTTTTCAAATCTTTTTTACCATTGAAAGATAACCGTTTCAATTTAGGTTACTCTCTCATGTTGGTTTTCAATTTTTTTTTTCTCTTTTCATATTGCCTCCCTTGAAAGATTAATAATTTCAGTTTAGGTTACTCTCTCATGTTGTTCTTCATCATTCCTCTAAATACCAAATTATCTAACCAAAACTTACCACAACTTCATCTCCTATACTCAGTTCACTCGTACTCAATTTACTCATTCTAGTTATGTTTTTGTAAAGGAAAAAATTGATGTCAAAATTTGAAATTTTTTTTGTTAAAATGTTCACAAAAATATTTTACGAGAACGTAATGTTAAATTAATTCAAAAAATGTGCACCTAATCAAATTATCACACAAAATTGTAAAAAAAATCAAATTTAGGAATTCTATTACAAGGACTCTCCCATTGGAGGCAATATTCCTTTAGGAACACAAAGATTCCCTTTAAGTCCTTATATGAATACTCAATGGTGGTGGTGGGAGTTCCTAAATAGGGACTCCCATTGGAGATGCTCTCACGTGTTTGATTTGAAAATTCATCACACGTGAAGGGGCGCGTAAGTATGTGAAGATAAAAGAGTCACATCTTTGAAATGAAAAACTTTGTATAAGGTTATAAAAAGTTATAGACAACTTCTCATATTACTTAGTTTTACGGTATAACGTCTTGTAGTATCGCTCTACTAGTACTATCAATGAAGTAAAGCCTCAACTACTTCGACTAGAAAAAGACTTGGCCACTGGGAGCAGATCAGAAGACCCATTGCATAGAAAAGTCTTGGTCTTCATTTTTTATCTCCGTCAATTCGATCGACTAGCTTGTCTTAATTTATATGGCAGTGAAAAGTCTTAATTTCTGGATCTCGTGATCATCAGTTGCTAATTTCCAGAATGCTAGCAAGATTATTCAGTTTCTGCAATTCACTTTGTCCAAACTCTCCCACTCCTCCCTCTCTCTCTCTCTCTTTGTTATGCCGAAGGCGTCGTAGTAAACTATCTATAGCGCATAGCTGCTATAAAGCCACCGGTACTGAGTGATGGCTAAGCGTAAAGTAACGTGTGATGTGGAGAACTCGACAAGGTAAGTTGTAAGCTCAACTTCTCTGCATTTCTTATTTCCTTTTTTCCGTAAGTGTTGCATCAAATAATGTGTAAGTTGTGAGCTCAGCTTCTATGCATTTCTTTTTTCCTTTTTTCCACAACTGTCGCATCAAATAATAGTATCCTATCTCCAATCGGTGTTCTAAAAACCCACGGGTCGTCTAGAAGCTAGTGACCGGTCACCGACCCAATTAATTCTTAGGCATTTAAAAAATAATTAGATGCCCTCTTAGACTTGCTTAGGCGTTCGTTAGTCACTTGCATGAGTCGTGACTATAACTTAGACAAAAAATAAATAACTTTTATTTTACATTTTATTTTTTCAACAAAAAGTAATACAATTGTTGAATATTTGGATAAGCATTCGTTATATACTTATTACCCATATTTTATATTTTCTAGTACTTTAAAATTTATATGTCTAATTATTTTGTAATTTTTGTTTCCCAATTATATATATTTTTAGTGATATTTTGATCCAGGTCAATTCAGCTGCTTTCTGATTGATTCCAGTTTCATTTTGCTTCCGGTTAATTATTTCTTATACTTGTTTTGCCTTTCATATTAAAAGTAAAAATATATTTAAATTGTTTAATTTATGCATCATTTACTCATTTTTTATTTTTCAAAATTGATTCTTTCAAATGCTTTTTATCCACTGCTATATATCCAGAAAATATTTTTTAAATGCATGTTTTAGTTTAAAACCATAGCATGTAAGTTAAGTTTAAATTAAAATAAACATTTTAAATTCATAAGCAAACAAATATAATACATTTTTATCAACAAATATTATAGGTACTTGTGATGCAGGTAGATAATATAATTATAGAGGTAGATTAAAAAAAAATTAAATCGATCTGTATTATAGGTAAACTATGAACATAAACATATGGAATACGCATATAAACTTGTGATATAGATTAATACAATTAATTTGTGAAATAGGTAAAATATAAAAAAAATAATATAATGGTACATTAAGAAAAAAAAATGTGATATGGGTAAATAAACACCAACGCATTTCATAGTAAGGCTTAGCCTAATCCCCCACTCACCTTGTTAAATGATCTAGATTAATGTATAGAAAACTTCATTTTAATCCTTAAAAAAGATGAGTTTTAGATTATAACCATATGTAAGATTAAAATCCAATTTTAGTCCCTAGCACATTTAATCATATCATTTATTAGTTGTATTTTGATGTTTTATTTTATCCTTTTATTTTTCTTTTAATGTATTAATTACATTTAAATTTAATTTTTATTTCATTCATCATAATATATTTTAATGTCTACATTTAGGCAACTAATTTTTTTATAATATATATTCCGATAACAATTTTGTATGTTCTTTATTTAGGTATATTAATACATTTGAATATTTTGGTATATCCATCGGTACAAGCATGTAGTTACATTGATTCAATATAATGCATTTCGGTCAATATAATGTATTTCGTTACGTACACTTTGGTACACACATTTGAGAATCGACTTTTAGGTACATTAATTCAATTATTATATTTCGGTAAATACAGTTAGGTACATACATTTTGGTATTGATATTTAGGTACATACATTTTCGGTATTGACATTTAGGTACATACATTTCAGTATTGACATTTAGGTACATTAATTCAATATAATACATTTCGGTACATACATTTAGGTTCATTATAATATATTTCAGTACAATCATGTAGGTACAAATATTTCGGTACAAAAAAGTCAATTTTATATATTTTGGCACAATCATTTCTGAACACTTATGTATTTATATATTTTTGTATCACAATTTTTTTTTAATATTTTCTCATTGACATTCATTTCTAATTAAAAAAAACTAAATATGTGCATATTAATAAAATTAAAATTTAATATGGAGAGATTAAATAAAAATACACATTAAATAACAAAAATTGAATGTAAATTTTGATAAAAGTACACTCAAGGGATTAAATTGAATATTTAATCTAGCACCAGGTTTTTTTTTAAATTTTAATCTTTTACAAGGATTAATGTTCAAAAACCCCTTAATGTATAGTGACTTTGTTGTTGTGGGTGATGCACAAGATTTTGATAATATATATCCAAACGTTTGTTGAAGAGAAAATTAATAGGACCACACCTATCTGATGATGGATCAAGCTGCGTCTTTTTTTCAGTACTAAACAACAGGACGAACATGAGAAAAATGAAGGACATTATCTCGTCACGTGGAAGAAAATATTTGGAATATCATGTGCATTTGGAGTCTTGGTGGACCCTTTATTCTTTTACATTCCTTTCGTCAATAAGAACATGAAGTGCTTCGAGTTGGATAGAAAGTTGAAGACAATAGCTCTTGTATCACGATTACTTACAGATTTCATGTATATAATCGACATTATCCTTCAAATTTGGATCGGGATTCTAGAAAAACGAAGGATATTAGTCAGTGATCTTTTGGCAATGTCAGCTAAGTGGCCTTGGAAATCATACATCATAATGGACATTTTGGCCATTCTTCCTGCAACCCAGGTACGATAACTCTTTATTACCTATAGAGACTAAATAATCCCTCCTAACCTGAATTTCTTGCTCCACTTGAGAAATTTTTTTCGCAACGTCCATCCTTTATTATGATATAACATACTCACTGACTCACAAAAGGAATCTCTCTGAGTATGCGCGCGCACACATCTATGTGAAATTCGGACTTGCATTTTGTTAGTTAATTCAACTCCAAATTATGATTAGATTTGATGGTTATCCACTGTTGACAGGTTTTAACATTTATATTGTTTTCAAAAATGAGGGGCTCAAGTTCTTTGCTTGCTAAGGAGCTTATGGCTACTCTTGCTCTGTTACAATATGTCCCAAGGGTTATTCGTATGTACGTATCATGTAAAGAATTCAGCAAGAGTTCTACAATCTTGATCGGAACATGGACTTTTTTCAAATGGGGATTCAGTCTCTTTCTTTACATCCATACTAGTTATGTAAGTTTCGTTCATATGTATGAATTAATTTTACAAAATTACTACTTTTATTATACTTGTACCATCATTTGTATTGTCTCTCTAATAGAGATGAGACCCACATATGTTGGTAAGTTTTACCTCTATTAGAGAGATGATACAAATATGTGGTAAGATTAACTCACGTACTACTCGTTGGTCCTTTAGGTACTTGGAGCTTTTTGGTACTTTTTAGCTATACAAAGACAGTCAACTTGCTGGCAACTTGCTTGTCAAAGTGAACAAAATGGATGTAAACCTAGTACTTTTTATTGCAATGATCGTTTGTTCCAAAATATCACAACCCTAAATTATTTATGCCCTATAAATCCGTCAGACGCAAAGGTTTTCGATTTTGGGATATTTCTTGATGCTCTTCAGTCTGGTGTGGTGGAGTCAGCAGACTTTCCCAGAAAGATTTTGCATTGTTTCTGGTGGGGACTTAGAAATCTAAGGTTTGTACATGGATAGGGCAACATCAGCAAAGAATTTCCGTTATCAATGCACAATAAAGTTAATGAAGATTTCTTACTTTTAGGCTCTGCGCGCATTGAATTTAATTATACTAAAGACATTATTTCTTATTTGTGATTTTTGCATGCAGTTCTCTCGGATCAAACCTCGAGACCAGTAGCTACGCAATGGAAAATCTGTTTGCCGTTTTTATTTCTTTACTTGGCTTGCTACTATTGATGTTTTACCTCAGTGGAAATTTGCAGCAGGTTGGTGACCAATAACATCTTGGAACCCTCGCCTTCATTCCTGGTTTTGATATTTCAGGATTTAATGAACCGATGACCTTACTGTGAAACAGATATGGGCGGTTACAGTTACATCATTAGCGAAGAGGAAAGCACGGCGGCATATGGAATTGCAGATGAAATTAGAGATCCAATGCTGGTTATCTGAAAATGGCATCCCGAAGCATATGAAGAAGGTGATGATGCGAAGGCTACAAATACATCTAGAAGGAGAAAAAAACGTCGATGTTAATACGAAGAGTATCATCTCTATTGTTTCCGTGGAAGATAGAAGATTAATCAAACGCTATTTAAGCTGGTATATTCTAAAAAAGTAAGTTAATTACTCTAATTCTCTGAATTAAGTATGTTCTGGATACATGCAATATGAAACCATCACTTTAGTAGCCTCGTGTCGTTAACTAGTACCCTACCAATGCCCTTCAGTGTTTTCAAGGGGTACCGTAGAATTTCCTTTGTGTTCCTTAGTAGTTATTTTGTCGTATTTATTCTTCTTATTTTTTTCTTAATATATCTTACTGTAGGTGCCAATGTTTCGAACCCTGGATGAAAAAGTGCTGAAAGAAATTTGTCAAAGCCTTCAGCCAGTGATGTTTACTGAGGATACCTACATTGTTAAAGAGGGGAAACCGCTTGATAAGATGTTATTCATCACGCAAGGCATTGTATGGAGCTACGGATCTAGTAATAATAATGGAAGCACTCGTTGTCTTAAGAAAGGTGATTTCTACGGAGAAGAACTTCTAAACTGGGTATCGGAAGTTAGCTACCTCACTGCCTTACCGATCTCGACCAGGTTTGTCAAGTCCCACACACATGTTGAAGCCTTTGTTCTAAGGGCTTACGACTTGAAAACTATTGTTTCCAAAAACTGGTTGCATTTTTCCAAGTTCACTCCGCCCTCTCAGAAGCAGCATCTTGCAGCTTCTTCGCTTCAAGAAAGTTGGCGCCGCCATCATGAAAAGAGGGCACGGGCTGTGCATCTTGCCCAGCTGAGAGAAATGGGGAATAACAAGATAACGGATGAAGTACCTCTTCTAGGCCAGTTCAAGTAGTTCGATCAATACTTGTGTTCTTAAATCGATGCATATTATTTCAGCATATATAGTGTGTCATATTATCAACTTATATTTGTAATCAGTAGAATTCACATTCAGGAATCTGTTCAGAACTTCAGAATATTCCTTATTAATTTAAGAAAGGAGAGGATTAACTAAATCATTTGTTTCCATCCGACGGAAGACAAGGTCCATATAAGTTACACATTAGAATTTCAAGAGCACACAATATTCATCCTCTCACGTTGTGTTATTTTCTGCCAAGCATTAGCAAAAAAGTTCTTGTGGGGTTGGTTCGGGAGTTGTATGCCGAAGTTTTTTGAAGAATATTTCGGTAGTAGCTGCCCAACTTGCCAAACGATTCGCGGATACGAACCTGTAAGAGGATGAAGTTGGTGTTATTTTCTAAGGGTTGGAGAGAGTGAATGAGTGTAGAAAGAAGAGAGTTTCGTATGAGGATGGACGGGAAGAATTATTTTGTGTTTTTTTGGGTAAATAATTTCAATTTTTGAAAAGAGAGATGTTAGTGGCAAGTGTCTTGTAGCTCATTTGGTTAAGAATATTTTTTTTAGCGCTCAAAGTCTCGTGTTCGTATCCTCCTTACGGTAGTTTATATGAGTTATTGTAAATTATCTTATCTTTTATAAGGAAAAAAAAAGATGTTGTTAACATTTAAAAAATGTCTATATTGCGAGGTCTTTTGTAACATGCACTTTTATCCTAATTTGACCCCAAAAAATGCAAGTACAAAAATAAAAGCAACAAAAAAATGTCAAATTAGTTTCGTGTTTTTAATTTTGTTTAAAATAAAAACTAAAATGGTTAATTTGAAAACCAGTCAACAAAGAATGGTCATCTTTCCAAAGTGAGAACATAGGAGGGCAAGGCCTGTCTGCCACTTAGTTCTTTTCAGCCTTATTTTGTTTTTCATTGAACTGTTTTCGACCTAATTTAAAGAACGTATATTCCAAAGCCAGGACAACAACTTTGTTCAAGCTGCCTAACCTTGTTCTACAAGATTGGATAATATATATATGTGTGTGTGTGTTAATATGTAGGGGTGGGTTCGGTACGGTTATCGTACCAAAACCCTTGTACCAATTACCGTACCAAACTTTCGGTTTGGTAAAATCTATTACCATTACCGTACCAAACTTTCGGTATACCGAAGTTCGGTATTGCCAAAAGTTTGGTTGGCATGGTATGGCAATGGTAATTGCCATTTTGTTTTGGGACAAAATATGTTTTTGTTTTTTTAACCCAATTCAAGGGCAAAACTTCTTTTTTTGTACCTTTATCTCATACATTATAGATTAAATTCATCTATATGATTATTGTGAACTACGAATGGCTTGATCCATGCTTAGGATACGTAGGCAGTCTAACGAAACGTTAGATGCAGCCATATAAGAAATGAGATTAAATAATCGTGACCATAGCCTTGTTTAAAGTTTTGAGCAATATATGTGTGCTTTTGGTTTTAGGTATATATGTATACGCTTGATGTTTTTCCCAGAAAATGCAATTAAATTATTTATGCTTTAAAAATGCCATGCCTATTGAATAATGCTTAAATGATGAGTTGAATTGTTTGCATATATATATATATATATAATTGTGGTGCTGTGAACGCTCTGAAGTGCAAAGGTGAATGCAGGACACACATGTAAGTTCAAGTAAGTTTAGGTAAATTCAAGTAAGTATACGGTATTAGTTGGATTGATGAGATATGTGATAAGATATCAATATGTCGAATAGGTCACTAGAGGTGACTCCGACTTATATGCTAGTCATGATTGATGAGATATGTGATAAGATATGAATATGTCGAATAGGTCACTAGAGGTGACTCCAACTTATATGATAGCCATGATCTAGCATGATTGATGAGATATGTGATGGGATATGTGATAAGATATGGGATATATGCTAGCCATGATCTAGCATGATTGATGAGATATGTGATGGGATATGTGATAAGATATGTGATAAGATATCAATATGTCGAATAGGTCACTAGAGGTGACTCCGACTTATATGCTAGCCATGATTGATGAGATATGTGATAAGATATGAATATGTCGAATAGGTCACTAGAGGTGACTCCAACTTATATGCTAGCCATGATCTAGCATGATTGATGAGATATGTGATGGGATATGAATATGTCGTATATGTCACTAGAGGTGACTCCGACTTACATGCTAGCCATGATTGATGAGATATGTGAGGAGATATGAATATGTCGTATAGGTCACTAGAGGTGACTCCGACTTGTATACTATTATGAGTTATTAATCACATGATTATTTGATATTATTGATGAGATGCTGTGTTGTGGTACATTATGATTTCTCTGGAAATTATACAAGTGTTGTAACGAGGGATTACATGTGTTATATGTTTTCTATTAGTATTTTACTTACATGGCCACTCACCCTTGTCTTGTTTTCACCCTCCAGGTATTATTAGCTGAGTTTTAATATCACCAAAGACTCACGGTGATTCTTAGTATTAGAGACTATTTCGAAGGTACGATTCTTATATCATTTTTCTGTACTTGCTTATGCTCTAACATCACGTGTGAAGTGGGTTCATTCCCGCTCATCAGTGCACTCTGGTATTTAGGCACTCTTAGGTTTAAATTTATTCACAATTTTCCACATCATCACACTTTATGGCTTCGTCACCTTCGAGGTGTAGGCCAGCACAGCTTGATTCGGAGTACTAGTAGACATTCCGGGTCGGGGTGTGTCAGTTTGGTATCAGAGCATAAGTTGGGCAGTATTGTGTTCATCACACGCGTGATGTGAGCATTCTTGGTTTTGTGTCTAATGTTCGAATCTTGCCACCTCGTCGAATACGAGAAAATATGTTAACTTTTCTTCAGTTTAGGCAGTTTTGTAGTCTTGACGACGTTTTAGAAAATCATTTTGGCGTTTGTTCTTAGAATTAAAACGAAGTTATTCCTTGTGGAAGAAATGTGTAGATTTGAGGCAAGTTGATGGCATAAGTTAATGTATTGATAACCGTTTATCACCGGAGATTTTACCAACCAATTCCATCATCATTCTTTCGCTGTTAGAATTGATTCTTTTGAAATTGAAAATCTCAACTAGTTTTGATTTACTGGTAGTATTGTTTGAATATCACCTAATAGAATTCTTGCGAAGTCTACTTTTGTTAAAACTCTAGAAGTGTCGCATGTGGTAAGGTAGTGCTAGTGTGGTAGCACTCGGCGGAAGAACATTTTGGGAAATTACTTTTGGTCCCTAGTAGTTAATAGTTTTATGATGTTACTATTTGATCATCAAGAACCTTGTTAGCTCATTCTTAAATTTGATCTCGTTACTTTTGGCCTAAGATAATAACGGAGTTGTTTAGTCTTTCAACATAATTCATTGGTTGTTTAATTCTTTGATATTCTAGTCTGTCCCTGTTATGTTTATACCCCCAGTTTTACCTCCTGGTATTAAAGGTAATTGGGTTGATTTAGAGTCACTGGCCTATTTCCGATATCATTTTGGATAGGGACAAAATTTCCAGGAGGACCGCTGAGACATGGAAATTGTACATTTAGTTCAGATATCTTGTACTCTATATTTCATGAACTTGTTTTGACCCTCAAATTCTTGAGTATTCTTTTAGCCTCCTCGACATGGTTTCTTGCTCGGTTAGTGAGGAATTCATGATAGATCGACTTGGCGGATGTTTGCGCCACTTTCATATCTATACTAGCATGAACCATTAAAATATAATCTTATTATGAGTTTACCAGACTTACAGAAAATAATCCTAAACAACTTTGAGTTATGGGAATATGAACGCCGAAACACTGTTAGCAACCGAATTGGTGCACCTTGGGATAGTATGGTATCGTGGTCAAGTTATGAGTCAGACAGTTTATGCATATTTGCACAGGAGGAACAAAATGATATTTTGGTATCCTCGGGAACCTCTCACTAGTTGTTGAGATGACGATAAGTTATCGGTGTTACGGGCTGCAGGTTTAAATGTCAATGGTCGAATTGTTAGATTCATTAAACAAGTGGGCAAGACCACTCATTTTTCGACAACATTTGCAAGTTAGCTATGGTTCAAACTCATTAGCGGAATTCGTGACATGACGAATGTTTGGCGAGATCCATTTTCGTTTTGAGCTTTATTTGTGTCGTGCAAATATTTCTTACTACATTGTTTTATTTATACAAGTATCGATATGGAGTTATCTTTAACCTATTAAGAAATGGTGATGGAGTCATGGCGTTGACAATGATAAGTGTGGCTAGAAATATAAAATGTGTTGGCAAATGATAATTGTGGTTGGCAATTTAGTGTTCATTAAAGTCATTACAATTTATTGAATAAAAATATGGAATGAGATCTTGAGTTCACTTAATATGAACGTTTTACAGTGAGTTTTTGCACTTGATGAGGAGAATTGATGAGAAAAGTTTACGATTATAAAATTGATTGATTTGGTTTGCCATCAATGAATTATGGCATGAAATTCTTGTATTTTGTTAGCCACGATAGTCACGGCTTGAAATTTGATATTTGATTGTGCCAATATCATTATGGCCATAATTTCTGGTATTCGTGTTGCTAAAAGTAATGGGAAGCGGCATTACCAATAATTACGATGTAAATTTTCCAAATAGCATGAATGAGATTTATCGAGTGAGAATGGAATCATAAACTGAGGTTATGATTTGGTTATTATAATTTAAAATCGTGGGAAGACCACGAAGCTTCCTCCATTTATTATTGGTGGATATGAATAAAGATTATGAAATGAAATTTTGAGTTCGTTTATTATAAATAAATTTTCAGTTGTGTGAGAAGTGAAATTTTATGATTATGGAAAGAATTTTTGGAGAACATGGTATAATCATTGATATGTTGTTTTGGTTGCCATGGGTCATGAGTGGTCATTGTTGGAAATTGATATTGCAAACAAAATCGATGACGAGCATATATTCTCTTGACTATGTGATTAGTAAGGATTAATTTCGTTAACCGTTAGGTTTGTAAAATGTGAAATTCTCCTACTTGGTTGGCGAAGTGTCAATAGTACTCTGGAGGTGCAGCTCACTAATTTATTCGAGCAGAGATGTGATTTTATACCATTATTTTATCGAGGAAGGAAGACAGTATGAGCTT